AATTTGAAATTTGCATCATATACTGTAGGTTTATACAATGCCAATTCAAATTTACATTTAAAAAAGACAAGTTTTGAGTTTTTGGTCATACCATTGATTTGACAAACTATTGGCCAGATTTTTCAGTGCACGAATGTTGTTTTCCTTAAACATTTGGTTCTTGAGTGATGTAATATGGAAGAGAGTAAATGTCTCTTTGGTGGGGGGAGGAAATTGTTTTCTCTGCCTTGACCCAACTATAAATAGAACAAAACCTGCCAACAATGCAACGCTGCAGCCAAAGCCTTGTCAAAAGCTGAATTAACATTTATCCAAACAAGAGCAATATTTCTGCTCAAAGAGAACGAAGCAATGTGCAAATGTGAATGTAGAACCAGTTCAAAAGCTAAACCAAACATCACCAACCACCACAGAGGTGAATGTATTCAAATCTTTTTTTTTTGTAGAAGTATGAATGGCACGTAGTGTAAAGACTTAAAATTTGCAAGAAATGAGTCTCAAACTCAGCTAACTAGTGATTAAAAATAAATGCATCAAATACTTAAAGATTTGTTATGGAAAAACCTTGAGACAACAGTGAAGACCTAAACACCTAAAGTCCTAGACAGAGTAGTGTATACTTGCCTTACAGATAGGAAAACATATCTATAGAGAGCGAAATGTCTACTTTCAAATAAACCAATTCAAATAGAAAACAAATATTCTCAGATTATGTAATCCGTATAAAACATGCATACAGGCGCATCCCACTGCTGTGGAGATGAGTCAGTGTCGCCGACTTCATCTCTTAAACCGAGAACAAAGAAAGCACCATAGTGTATCAATAAATTAAAATGTTTATGCAGCCTCCTTACTGTTTTTCCCTGACACATTCATAATCATTATTTCTGCGGTGCGCTGTGGCAAGCTTTATACAGTATCTCACAGAAGTGAGTAACACCCCTCACATTTTTGTAAATATTTTATTATATCTTTTCATGTGACAACACTGAAGAAATGACACTTTGTTATACAAGCTGTACACTCACTACTTTACATTGTAGCAAAGTATAGCTTTTTCATGTGACAACACTGAAGAAATGACACTTTGTTATACAAGCTGTACACTCACTACTTTACATTGTAGCAAAGTATAGCTTTTTCATGTGACAACACTGAAGAAATGACACTTTGTTATACAAGCTGTACACTCACTACTTTACATTGTAGCAAAGTATAGCTTTTTCATGTGACAACACTGAAGAAATGACACTTTGTTATACAAGCTGTACACTCACTACTTTACATTGTAGCAAAGTATAGCTTTTTCATGTGACAACACTGAAGAAATGACACTTTGTTATACAAGCTGTACACTCACTACTTTACATTGTAGCAAAGTATAGCTTTTTCATGTGACAACACTGAAGAAATGACACTTTGTTATACAAGCTGTACACTCACTACTTTACATTGTAGCAAAGTATAGCTTTTTCATGTGACAACACTGAAGAAATGACACTTTGTTATACAAGCTGTACACTCACTACTTTACATTGTAGCAAAGTATAGCTTTTTCATGTGACAACACTGAAGAAATGACACTTTGTTATACAAGCTGTACACTCACTACTTTACATTGTAGCAAAGTATAGCTTTTTCATGTGACAACACTGAAGAAATGACACTTTGTTATACAAGCTGTACACTCACTACTTTACATTGTAGCAAAGTATAGCTTTTTCATGTGACAACACTGAAGAAATGACACTTTGTTATACAAGCTGTACACTCACTACTTTACATTGTAGCAAAGTATAGCTTTTTCATGTGACAACACTGAAGAAATGACACTTTGTTATACAAGCTGTACACTCACTACTTTACATTGTAGCAAAGTATAGCTTTTTCATGTGACAACACTGAAGAAATGACACTTTGTTATACAAGCTGTACACTCACTACTTTACATTGTAGCAAAGTATAGCTTTTTCATGTGACAACACTGAAGAAATGACACTTTGTTATACAAGCTGTACACTCACTACTTTACATTGTAGCAAAGTATAGCTTTTCATGTGACAACACTGAAGAAATGACAATAAAATATTTACAAAAATGTGAGGGGTGTACTCACTTCTGTGAATGTGTGCTTGAGCGCTTATAGGCTATGTAGGCAATTAAAGGCTCATGATAACGATTTAAATTGTTTATTAATAAATGTGCGATTAGTCGACTAATGCTTAAAATGAACGACTACTAGTCGACCAGAAAAATCTTTAGTCGAGGGCAGCCCTACCATGTTCATTCATTGAGGCCAGAGAAGAAATGGTTCTGTTACTAAACCTGGTTTCTTGCAAGGTTTTTTTTCTCCATTTCTGACACTTAATGGAGTTTGGGTTCCTTGCCACCGTCACATTTGGCTTGCTTAGTTGGGGTTTAAAAGACACTTCATATTGTCACTGTTGCCTTCTGGGCAGTGTGTTTGTGTACAGCGACAGCAGGGATAGTCATCCATGGAGAGGTGGAAGTATTAAATGTGTTTAACCAGGTCTTTATTTGGGAAGGTGTCCATTGCTTTGTCCCTGTTTGCAGTAATTTTATGAAGCCTGAGCTTTGAGACAGCTAGCATCTATTGTGCCATTTTAAGTACATTGATCAACTCTTCCTCTGTAGATAATCCTTTAAAGTAATTTCCTTCAGAGGAAGAGCTGATCAATGAATTTCCACACCCACTTTAGTCATTGTCACAATGCCACAGAAAGTTTAAAACGTCACAACAGACTTCACAGGTCAAGAGGCAGTAAAACATTGCTGTATGTCAGCTGTAACAGTAACCAGATCCTTTTGAAATCTTTATGAGGACACCTAACAGGATATTGTTAAGGTCAAGGTCAGGGCCAGGCAGCAGTACGTTATTGAGAGATACTCCATCAAACTGCACTAGAGTTAGTTATATCTCTGATTTGCTCTGTATTTTTGGGATGGTACACACCAAATGGTGGAAGATACCAGCATTCTTGGCTATCCTGTAGAGGAGGTGGTAGCTCTGCTTGGTAATTTTCAAGTATCTTCTGTATGAACTCTCCAAGAAGTTCTCTAGTTGTTTCTCAAACTTGCAACTGAGAGACATGGTATGGCAGTGATACTACCCAGCTGTTACTTAAACATTATGGAATATGAATTCTTTAAAGACTTAAGAAAAACTGCTGCTCAACTGAAGGAGCACATTTATTTATCTTTGTTCTGCTGAAAGTCTGACTGACCAGGCCTGTAGCTTGATAGGTCTACTTGACATTGTGACATGTGAGATGAGTATTTGGTATTGGTATGTTTCTTAAAGGTGCCATAGAATGCACTGATACAATATTTTAAATTGTTCTCTGATATCTACATAGAAGGTATGTGGCATAGGTAAGGGTAAAAAATCTTCAGAAACGGTCCATTTACAACCCTAGGATTTGTCCCTAGAATGAAATGGTCTGTTATTACCTTATTTGGAAGGGTAATGAATAATAATGTTGAGCTCTGCTCTGATTGGCTGTTTGACAGCGCGGCTCATTTCAGTAGCTCACACAGCAAACAGATCTCTACTGTCCGGCGTGAACGATGGAGAGATTATGCATCCAACCTTATATGTTTGAGCCTGTATCAGACGAAGAGACAGATTTTGAGAGATATTACAAGAATGTTTAGCATCTGTGGTATGAACATGATCGCTGTGAGACGCTGGTGGAGTGAACGAGGCTTGAGAGAGAGTTGTGAGTGAGGGCGTGAACGCCATAGATATATATATACACATAGATGCCTCATTAGCGACTGTTTCTATGGGCTGCTATACATAAGCCGTCCGCCATATTGTAATGGTCAACTTGATGTCATTCACCACAGTAATCACTGAATATTCGAAAGATGCCACAATCCTGCATAGAACGGCTCAACGGCTCTGTGAGAACCTACAGTATGGTGAATGATGTGAAGTTGACCGTTCCAAGATGGCGCCACATCTACATGCCCGGAGCGGTCGAATGGGGCATCTATACATATCTATGGTGGACGCAGCCTCTGTGTTGCCAGATCCAGCTGTTATAAGCGTTTTTTTTTCCACTTTAGAAAGTCAATAAAATAGAAAGTTGCAGTTTAAGGTCAGCGATATCTTTATCTTTATAATTGCAAAAGGTTTTAAATAATTTAGCTTTATTTTTATTTATTTATCGTTTTTGTTTGTTTTAATAGCAATATCTGGCAACACTGCATCGATGATTCGGCTGTGCAGGTCCGGCTGGACTAGAACATGGGCTGGTATACATTATGCAAATGTTGGGGGCGTAAACATTAATGATCCCGACTGTAACGTCATAGTCGGTGTTATGTTGAAAATTATATTCAATATTAGAATGTTTGCGGGAGCAGGCCAGAAATTCAGCGGGAGCGGGATTAAGAAAACAGCGTGCAGGGCTTGAATACAAAACGCACACAATTAATGGCGACTGTAGAAAGCAAAAGCCAAATCCCGGACATTTTGGGCGATTTAGAAATCCTGGCCGGACGCATTTTTTAGGTCCAAAAAGAGGTCATGTCCGGGGAAAAGAGGATGTATGGTCACCCTACAGTAGTGTCATTATTCAGCTCTAGCCAGTTCAGTAATGATTCAGTTCAGTTCAAAAACAGTGTGAATTTTGAACAAGTTCAATTCAGCTGTAAGCAACTCGTTATTCCGCTAAATTCAGTTCAAGTTTTGTTCTCATCCAATTGTGTCGGTGCCATGAAATTGAAAATATTATTGACTATTAAGTGTCTTTTAAACCTCAACTATGCAAGCCGAAGGCATCACTAGATGGCAAGGACCAGTTTGGAGAGCAGTGACAGTCAGCCTCTTCACGTGCTGACAGATTGTATGTTCTGTGTAATGCACTTGAGAGGTGTTTTCCCACTTATGAAACACCACTTATCTTCTGTAAATGTCTGGTCTTTAAACCTGCCTGCTTCTAATTGGATAATTTTGTTTCTTATTGTCACAGGTTCCATCCGCACCTCCCACATATACAGGAAGACAGCTTTGGTAAAGGAGTCTGGAAGAAGGGTGAATGGAAAAGTGGTGTAAGAGAAAAAGAAAAAAAAAATCTCCCAAGTGAATGCGGACTTACAGTTAGGAACAACATTAAAAGCCGCCATTGCTCCAGTGAGACTAAAATAAAGGACTCGGATGATGGTGTGGGTGTGTGTGTGTGTGAGCAATTTGGCCAGCATGATAGAAGGATGTTAAAACTGTACTACTCTTTGCACCATCAATAGCTGTAGTGATTTGGAGTTAGTGTACTGGTAAAAGTATTGATGCAGTTTCACACATTTCTCCATTAAATCAGCTTTTCATTCCAACAGTATTTTAATTTTTATCACCATCTCGGATACAGCTAAATATTTATCTTGCTCTGGCTTCAGATTCACCCTGAAGTCAAATTGGGCTCTGTATGTTACATGAAGAATTTACAGATCTGTCTGTACTGCAGTGGTGATTGTGCAGTAAAACTTGGACATTTTATCATTCTGTGATAACTAGATACAGTATTTGGATTTCTCTGGTCAAAGTTTTTTTTTAATTTCGTGAGTTGTCTGTGTATGAATGACTGGCGTGCGTGCAACTGTAGCGCCAATCCCCATGCAACATGCTGTGACAAATCTTTAGCGTTCTTCTATGGACTTTTTTAGCTCAAATCTCACTCAATTCTATACAACACCTTGTTGCAAATGGGCTGTATTTTTATAAATCAAATTGTTCTTGCATTTCGCCACTGGAGCAGCGAAATATTTAATCAGTTTTGAGCTCTGCTCTGTTTAACAGTTAAACAATTAACCTTCAGATACCTAGATCCCAGTGGAAATAACTGATGACAAAGCAAATGAGGGAGGTGAGGACAAGGGTTAGGTGTGCTAGTCTGAATTGTGATTTAAAAACTGCGTCTAAATGGCCATATACACACTGTAAGTTTTGGGAGTGATAACTCCTAATGTTACCCACATAAGTTACAGTGCTTGATAACTATATCACTGTTAATAGGTTTATTTTGTGTTGCTAACTTTAATACATTTGTGTGTGTGTGTGTGTGTGTGTGTTAACAATTTTTCACCTAACTAACATTAGAGCCCAAGTAGGCTACATATCATTGTTTATAGTCAATGGGGTCCAGAGATTTTAAGCTTCAAAAAGGAAATAACAGTAAAGAAATCCAGAAATTTGATTTAAATAATTGGAGTTGTATGGATTACTTTGAGATGTTTAAATTCGCATAGATTTTTATTTTATGTACAAAAAGAGATGAGCTGTATTTTGCTGTGAGGGTGAGTAAATGATGACAGAATTTTCATTTTTGGGTGAACTGCCCCTTTAGGCACTGAAAAGAGTGACGGCTGCAGTATATACATGGCCACAGTATAAGAGATCAGAGAACTGTGGTACCAGCTGTGTTCTGAAAGTGTTTTTGTCATTGATGTTTGCTCCTTATACTGTGCTGTAACCTTCCGAAAGGGACAGGGAGTTGTAGGGAATAACTATGATTTCCTTTATAGTTATGCATGCAGAGTCCTAAACCACATGACACAAACAGCCTAATACTGAACTGTAATATATATTGGTTTTCACAAAACCAAGTGTGAACATTTGGTTGATTTCTTAATCCAATTCAGAGTTTGATTCCACCCACCTCCCCTGGTTATACAAGGTACCAAAGGCAAATAATACGCTGCCATTAATAACAGTTATACTCTGAGAATGCAAAGATGTAAATTACACGTCATCAATAGCAGTTTACTTCGATAAGTTATGATGGATTGCTGGGGCCTCATTTATAAAATGTGCGTACGCACAGATTTGATCTTAGAGTGTGCGTACGCTAAAATCCACGGCAACGTTCATATTTATAAAAACGGTCTTTGACGTGGAAAAGTACTTACCGCCACGTCAGGGTCTGAGCAGGCGTACGCACTTTTCCTTGTGGCAAAGTCGGAGTACTGCAGCTATTTGAACATCTAAGCTGCAATATGATGAATTCGGTGCTTGCACGTACACCGCTTTTATTATTAAGCAACAAAGATGCAGTGTAAGAGATTAATTGTGCAGTGTAGTCAGATTCTTTATTAACCAGAGTTTTTGTGAAGATTAAACTGACCTTTTTAGTAGCCTTCTTTATTCGCTTTCTGTACACAGTTTATTCCATGGTTTTTTATTTAATTTTACAAGAGAACTTGCTAAGTCTTGATTTACTACTAATGCGTAAAATAGAAAAAAAAACATGCATAAACGCATCTCCGACTATTTTGTCTGTGTAGCCTTTAAGAATAGGCCTGTCGTCTAATATATCGGTTTTAATATATTCTATTCGATAACATTGTTAACTGGCAAGTGATTTTAAAAGTAGGATGGCTCACTTTTTATAAGATGACTGAAAATTATACTTGAATTCGTAGTTTCTTCTTACTTTTGGAAACCTAATCGTTTTATAATTATTATTATTATTTCTAGAAGTAGTCATTTTGATAATAGTCAATAGAAAAAAGTATAACCACACACACATTGTTTGTCTGCAGAATAATTACACATTATTAAATAAAAAGCGTTGCTGCACGAGCCTCTACCTCCGCCAGCAGGACCTATATTTCAGACTTTTCTTTGTGCGCGTTATTCTCAAGCATAGAAATTCGGATATTGGCGTGTGCTCTTTTATATGGTAATGATATTAATTAGGGGGCGTTTACAAGGCGGAGATCTGACACCAGTCAGCTGCACACAATTTCAAGATCATTTGCGATTTATAAATGTCACATCTGGAAGAGAGGCGTACGCACGTGTTTTTGTGCGCACGTTCGTTTTTCTCTGAATCGCACCTATGCACTTTTGAGAAATTATCTTAGAACAAATTTAGGACTGTTTATACGCAACATTTTATAAATGAGGCCCCAGGTGTGTTTAATTGGGGTTGGAGTTGAACTCTGCTCCTGGAGGGCCACTGTCTTACGGTGCATGAGGAAAATGTAATAAATTCTCACTGAGATAATACAGAGAGCCCAGAAAAATAAAGTTCTCATGCCGTTTATCAAAATGATTTACAGTCATTTTGATGGAAAATGCTACAAACTGGGGTAGTTGGAATGTTTTTTTTTTCCAAATAACTCGTGTCATCTCATCCCCAGATTCTGAAGGTCATAGCATTAGATTTCTACCTTGCTCAAAGATATGCAACTATGTGAGCGCACGCTTTGCGTTGTTGCATTTGACGTATCAAAGTGCAGTTCGTAACACAATGCAAGTACTTTACATGTTGCATTCTCAGAACTGTCACAAGGGGTGCTATAGCACGCATTAGCATGAACTTTGTCCTCCAGTGGTCACTTTTTTATGTCTACTACTGTCCTGGTGGAGCAGTATGGAGAAAATAACTTAGTTACACTGTTAAAAGTTATCTACCTGAACACTAAAATGTATGGTTTTATGGCACAGGCAGTATTTGAAGGTAACTTAACCTAGAGTACAATGAGGAGCTCACTTGTAATGTATTGATGGCATATTTGTACCTATGTTTGCATAAGGCTTGTTTCTGGCCTCAATCCTGAGGTGCAGGGTCCCACTATACAGGCATTAAAATAATTACTGAAGGTACTGTGTGAAGGGAAAGGGTACTGTTGTGTATTAGAGCCTTTGTATTAATATATTGTTTGTTGTTTATGTTGTTTGGTCAGCTCTTGTATATGTGTGTGTATATAATATGCGCACATGACGCGTTCGTCAGGGTTAACATGACAGTCAGAAAATAACCTGCGTACTGTATTTTCACATGACTGAAAATATTGAAAAGGGCAATGTCAGTGTGATATAATGAGATGAAGTTTGGTTGGTTACCTATGTTCATAAAGTTAGAAAAACAATAGTGCGATATGCACATAATGTCTGTTTCTTGAAATCTTCCATACTACTGAATTTCCCTTGTTTCTGTGTTCTTCACATCTCTCACCTCTTGGTTGTTTTGCCCTCAGACTTTATCATCTGGAGCTGTGCAGTGATGCAGCATGTCTGTGTTTAGAACGATTTCCCCCAAAAAACAGTGTATATGGAATAAAACAATTCAACAACCAGTGACAGCGTTTGCCCTTTTTTGTATTCAAATGAATGTAAGAAATCAACTGTTTTTTTGTTTTTTTGTAAAAAGAGAAAAGTGGACAAGACTCCAACTTCTCACTAATAAACTTTATGATTACAAGATATATATGCTCGATAACTTTCTCTTGACCATAGATGTCAGAAAATTTCAACTTTAAGAAATCCATTCTCTTGTATTATATGAACTCGTACATGGTATATATAAATCTAAGAAAAAAGTTATACATCTTCGACATGAGGGTGAGTAAATGAGAAAATTTTTAGTTTTGGGTGGAGCATCTCTTTAAGTACCCAATTAGACAATGCATATTTTATTTTTTTTTATTTAATTGCAAAACATAAAATAAAAATTACATATTGAAATCGTTTTATTATGATTAAATCTATGTTGTATGCCATTCAAAATAAATAATTACCTTTTTTTTTTTATCTAAATAACAAATTACCAATTTAGTTTATGTGTAAATGAACACCTCTGCATATTTTGCACCTCTATTTTTACTGAGGGCAGATCAACTTTCTGGCAATATACATGTGATGGCATACAAGGATCCATTTTCCTTTCTGTGTGAAATGCACTAAAATATTAGCTAACAATTTATTTTACGGTGACCTTGTTACATGTACTTACTATTATAATAACAAAAAATCATCCATAATTGCATGCAAGTAAGCCAAACCTTAATCCTAACCCTAACCATATAATAAGCACATGTAGTTAATATTACTCAGTACTTAAATGTATAATTACACTAAAAATAACATGTAACCAAATATTAAAGAATAAATTAACAAAAAATAAAAAACAGAGTATATAAGTTATAATTAAATTATTAATCTAAATGATGTATCTAAATCACTTTAATTATTTCACTCATTCACAAGGTCCATCCATGCAATGCTAAATTTCTCTAAATCTGTTCCAACGAAAAAATGCCCTCAGGCCATTCAAGATGTAGATAAGGTTAAGTAAATTATCAGCAAAATTAAATTTTTGGGTGAACTATTCCTTTAATAACAACAAGAGCAGTGCTTCACAAACCTGTCCTACAGACCCCCCAGCACTCCACATTTTGTATGTCTCCCCCATCAAACACACCTGATTGAACTCTTCAGCTCATTAGCAGAGACTACAAGACCTGAAATGGGTGTAACCAATCAGGGAGACATACAAAATGTGCTGTTTTGGGGGTCCCTAGGACAGGTTTGAGAAACACTGAAATAGAGCCACAGCAGTGAATTCTTCATTCTGCAGTTACGTTGTTGACCTGATGTAGAGTGGTGGTGCGCTGGGAAGAGAGGCTTGGCTTGAGCAGCTTTTTTCTCTCTGAGGTGCTCTGAGGAGCGGGTGTATTCAGGGCTCTGCTCTGAGGTGTAGGAGGAACCACCTCGATGGACACACCAGCCTCCACATGCTGGTCAGCGCTGCCATCAAGTTCAACCAGCTCCGACCAAACTGGAAAAACAAACAAAACAACGATAGGTCATAATTCAGTTACAGGGACTACAGCTTTACAATCAAAAATGAGATTTGAGCAAATAACCTTTCAATATATCGGCTTCGCCAGATGCTGAAAAATGATCTAATATAAATGTGCAATTAATCGACTAATGGCTAAAATGAATGACTACTAGTTGACTAGAAAAATAGTTTTATTTAATTGCTGCTGCTGTTGGTTATTGCTGTAGTTGTAGATTATTGCTGCTGCTGCAAGCAAGTACAGGAACTTGCTACTGCCAATGCATACGGCGATACGGTGCCGTGAGTATTTAAGACATGCTGCTGCTGCACAAATAGCATATAAAATAACCCGTAGCAGATCTATACAGGTGGAGCTGGGGAAGGTGGAGGGTTTCATGCAGGAATCTCAAGTGAATGCTAGCAAGCCATATAAATGCAAGGCAGTAAGCTCATTGGCTGCATATGCAGCATGAACCAATCAGCTTGTGCCAAGTCGTTTAACTCTCTGAATATCATCAGTTACGTTAACAACCCGTCAGCCTGCACCATCTAGTGTTTCATGACTAAACTATATATTTACACAGTTTAATGTATCTCAGAGGGGACATGGATGCATTTAACCTACAGTTACATTTGGATAAATAATGTTTTGTTTTTAACATAAAACGTTGAATACTGATACTTGAAATTATTTTAAAACATGAAAAAAATTAGTCAAAATGTGAAATTAAAACCGCCAGTAGGTGACAGCAAGTGACTGTTAATGAGTGAGTCATTGAGATTCAACAGATTCGTTCAAATGGCTAATTCATTCAGGAACAAAGCATTTGACTCTCCCTGCGTTCCATTTGGAAGGGCTCATCCCTACGCCCTAATCCCTTCAAAGGGTTTACCCTCCGGAGTGAGAGCTTTGAAAGGTTGAAGGGTGTAGGGGACCAAACAACTGTTTCTTGAAGTGCGTTCAAAAAGCTGATTCATTCAATAAGTAAACACCGTTCATTGCTCAGAGACGCAAAACAGTGCTGTGATGTTTGTTTGGAACTATTTTTGTCAGCAAAATTTAGCAAAAACAAGCAATATTATGTCTAAAACGCAAGTCACTTATTGCTAACTTTACTGAACTTGTCTAAAATGATTATTAAATTTGTTATGCTGATATCTGCAGAAAAACGGAACTCTTTGTGTGATATAGATTAAGTTAACTATATTAAATTATATAAATATAAAAAGCATACAGAAGCATTTTTGCCGTCTATAATTTAGAATGCCTGGAATTTTGAGTTTTAATAGACTAATAAATCAACGTGCGTGCACTCTATAAACATAAAAGCATACAGAAGCATTTTTGCGGTCTACAATTTAGAATGCCTTGAATTTTGAGTTTTAATAGACTAATACATCACGTGCATGCACTCTGTCTGTTTGTGTGAGTTGGTGATATACTCGATAATGTCAGATCGCACATCATTACAACAACACTTACCATATTATCATCGCAGAAGATATACTGTATATCACACACCCCAGATTCAACTTGAGTGGAAAATGAAATCATCTGCAGTTGTGCGCTGTGTTTTTAGGAGTCTAACATGCAGACGCCAGACCACTGATTCGTAAACCTGTTTTCCTGCAGTCCGTGTTCTTCTGACTATTTTGTAGTAACGAATATGCTTCGGGGAAATGAATCGGAGTAAAAGTATACATTTTAATTAGGAAATGTAGTGGAGTAAAAGTAAAAGTTGGCTGAAATATAAAAACTCAAGTACAAATACTCCCAAAAAAATATTTAATTACTGTAACGAAGTATTACTTCTTGGGTATCTCCAGGAAGCTTTATCCTGTGGTTTTATGTTAAAGAAAGTGTTAGTAATGACCTGACCTTGGTGGCAGCAGAACTCAAGTAGGCGTTTCCCACTTCTGTTCATCCTGCCAACACCACACTTTCCCAAGCAAGTTGCTCAGGAATTGTGGTCAGTGCCCACTCTAGCATTAAAGTTACCAAGCAAAAACTGTGGCTGATTTGATGGGACACTGTTGACGATGTTGAGAACATCATAGAACTTCTCGATTAGTTTTGTAACCCTTGTTCCATGAAGGAAGCAACAGAGATGTTACATTTACATACTGATGTATGGGGTGTCACTTTGGAGCCCCAAACACCTCTGAGTAGTAAAAAACAGGCCAATGAACATGTGCGAGTGCCAAGCCACTTCTTTGTTCAAGCAGTCTGCAGTTTAAACAAAATCTCCAGTGATAGGGTTTCCATTTACTCAAGGTGAATGAATGAGTGTTTACTATGACAACCACTAGGCTCTGAAGCAAAAATCGGAATGAGTGGATGCATGCTACCTCCTTATAAACCCGTGTGTATGGAGGAGTGGCTAGGCTTGCAAATTCCACTCGCCAATGTTCAGTGGTCTGTTTTTTTAATGATTGGGGCTCCCAAGTGAGACCCTATTCATTATTATGTTGATGTAACACAGAATGTGACAGCTGAAACAAAGGACAAGTTCTCTTTCAGTCAGTGTAAGTCAGGGTTGGTTGCTAAGCACTGATAATGCTGTGGATTTTGGAGGAACAATACTTCCCAGCAGGTTGTTCCTGATTGCAAAGGCTACAGCATGTTCTCTTTGATCTAATTCTGACTTGCCCTGAAAAAAGGTGAAATCTTACAGCAGTCCCACTGGACAGTCACTGGCTGAACAATTAAAAAACATGCAGCCCATTTCACAGGTTGGTACATGAAAAAAAAATCACACCGATCTTTTCTTTTTTTTGTATATACTTGGTTATACACTGCAATTTGGTTATCAATATTGTAATGTCAGATATATACATTTATTGCAAGTTGTTTAATTCTTTTTTTTACAGATTAACAGCATAGACGTGCAAAGAGAATGCATCCTCAAATTGTGTGTATGCTTGAATGATGACAGCTGTTCAAGGAGTACAATGTAAGCAAATGCTTATCTCTTTCATCATCTAGTTCACTTTCATCTATTTCCTGTACTGCATCAAATATTAGATGTCATACAAATGCAGCATATTTTGTATGTTTTGCACAGGATTGTGATTGGTTGATTGCCAAAGAAGCCATGAAGCAGACAGTAATTGGGGTCTGCATTGTTTGACATGAAGGACATGACCCAGTGGATCAGAAGGGGTTGACGTTCTCATTTCTTTGAGGAATGCAGCTGTGGCAGTGGCCATGTTATTCAGACTCATTTATGCCTTTAACCTTAGCTACCCATGAGGACTCAAATCTATATTTGAGATCATCCAGAAAGTGTTCTTCAGCCTGGAAGGACGCAGACTTTCATCAAATGTGCATGCCCTGAGGAACAAGATGCTGGAGTAAGTTGATCCTGTACTATCTTGTTCTAAGCTCAACACTGAGCAGATTTTTTTATTGTAATATCAATATTGTTAGTCCTCTTTTTTGTATTTTGCATTGTAGTTTGTTTCTTTGTATTACTTAAATGTCAACCTAGCTGAAACTTTAAAAATA